TCTCTCTGTCTCTCTGATTCTGCTTCTGTCTCTGTCTCTCTACCTTGTCTACCTCTTCCTCATTATCCTTTATCCTTTTCCACCTCTTTCGTATTTTCCTGTCCAAAAAATAGAATTAAGTTATATTTCTAGATTTTTTTATTGAATAACTAAATTAAGTTGCTTTTTATTATCACCATCTTCTCTGTTTCTGGTTTGAGTCTTTTAAATGTGCTAGAGTAAATCCATTTCATGATTCTGGGTCTCTCTTTCATTCCAGAAAATACACCTTTCCCACCACCTCTGAAAATTGTCTCCAACTTAATGAGGCAATGTGGAGAAGAGACATAGGGAAGATTATACATTGGAGGCTTGGCTCTGTCACTCACGAGCCAGGTAAGTTCTGTCCCCTCTTGGAGGTTCAATTTTCTCATTTATAAGATGGGGGTAACACTATCTCATAAGAGTAATGGGGGAATTAGATCAATTAAGATGCCATGTAAAACAAATGGCATAATCCCTGGTTAAATGGTGAGTGCACAATAAAGAGAAGCTTCTATTATGTTAAAACTAAAAAATCAGTTCTATGCATTAACGACACCAAGGATAACATTAATAATGGTAATTTGGGGAGAGAATGGGATACTACCCATGAAACAGCTTGGAGATGGAAATCTCTAAAAAGTGCCAGACACATTTTCTTAGTGCTTTGTACGTGTTAACCCATGTAATCCTCACAACAATCATAGGAAGTGGGTGCCATTATTATTCCAGCTAAAGGTGAGGGAACAGAAGAGACTTATAAGAGTGGTTCCCTCATTTCCTTAGATCATCACAGCTAGTGAGCGGTTGATCCAAAATTGAAACCCATGTAGTCTAGTTCCAGAGCTGTGCTGTAAAGCATCTTTCAAAATCACATGCCTCCAGGAAAGACGGCATCTTCTAAACCAGCTGGTATGTTGCCAGTAATTTGTTACCAGGAATAAAGTACAGAAGTCTGCTGGTTACTCTCTTTTTAATGGAAAGGAGTGTAGTTGCATTTACAAAATTCACTGGTCTTGGTCACCACATCTGCATTTCCTCTCTAGTGTAGGAAGGAGAGCAGTGCAATCCAAGCCAAAGCTTTGGAAGCTGCTTATGCCCTGGGCTCATCTGTGGTACGTGCACATCACCTATCAACATCAGCATCCTTGTCGTCACCACCACCACCGATATCATCACTCCCGTGATAATATTACTTATTGATTACTATCTGACAGGCACACGGTCATTCTTCACGTATGTTTTCTGAATGTGTTGCAGTAGAAGAAAATGTTGAAAACCACTGAGCTACACCATTCCAGATGCAGACATAAAGCCGTTCCCATGTTTCTACCACTGATGACGCCACCACTGACCTTGGAAAGGAAAGAGGAATGGCTATAACGTTCGCTGACATCTACCTTGTGTCAAGCATCGGACAAGACACTTTACGTATGTAATCTTACTTAATCCTGAACACAACCTAAAATACAAGCATTAGAGTTATTTTAATCCCAGTTTTACAATGAAGGAAACCACAGCTCGGAATGGTTAAGTGTCCTTCCTGAAGATCACAGGGTTTCTACATTATGGCTTCAGGAGTAGAACCAGACCCATATTACTCATTTGAGCCATCCCTTTAGGAGAGTTTCATCATTTCCTAAACTAGATTTTTTTTCCCACTATAATATAAGCTCTCTCTTTTGGCAGGAGCCCCCAAAGAACACTAGCTTGGGCATCAGAAACCCCAAGTTCTAGCCCTCTTTTTACAACTCCTAAGTTGTGTGACTTTCAGCAAGTTGTTTACCCCTTAATATAAAGAGTTTCCAGCTCTAACTCCCACACTCTATGATGTCCCTAGAAACAGACAGAAGATACCCGCTGCCACTCATATATCAGTTCTGATCACAAGCTTTTCCTCTGCCCTTGGAAGAGAAGATTACAGAGAGGGGCCCACTGCCTAAGTGAGCTTGTTGACCAGAATATCAGACCAGGGTGGCGAAGGCAAAGGCGAAGGTTGGCTGGGGAGTGTGAGAAAGTCGTCCACCTTGCAGCTGTCCCTGCCTGAATAGTACCACAGATAAACAAGAGTCCCCCTCCAGAGATCTCTGCTGGCACCTTGTCTTCATTCCTTTCTGAAAAAAAAATTCATATCCTTGTGAAGAATGTATCGCCTTCTACACACAACTGCCAAAAACCCAACTGTAGGCAAAATCCATCTGACAAAATCCCTTAACCGCTTTGATTCAGTTCTTAAACGAGATTAGTTGTTGGAAGGTCACCGAGAAGCCATCTACTGCACGCTGCAGCTTGGGGTTTCAAAGCTTTCAGTACTAAGGGAATCTCCGTGCTTGATGTCCCTTCTCTCCAGGCCGTTTAATCAATGAATCAACAAACAGTTACTGAGCAAGGCTTCCCTGGGGTCTGCAGGTCACCTCAGATGTGCCTCTCTGGTTCAATAGCAGGAGGAAGAAAAACAGATTTTTCTGACTCCTCTTAAACTTTCCATTTATAAAATCAGAGCTAGCATGAAAGGACCATGGGTCTCCTGTTCTTTTTTCTCTTCCTTGAACGTTGATGGTTCACAAAGAACAATAAAATGCTATATAGTTGAGATAATATATAAGAGATAACAGGAACGAAGGAAGGAAGGAAGGAAGGAAGGAAGGAAGGAAGGGAGGAAGGGAGGGAGGGAGGAAGGAAGGGAGGAAGGGAGGAAGGAAGGAAGGGAGGAAAGAGAGAGGAGGGAGGGATAGAAGGAGGGAAGGAGGAAGGGAAGGAAGGGAAAGAAAGAGGGAGGAAATAGAAGGAGGGAAGGGGGAAGGAGGAAAGAAAGGAAAGAATGAGGAAAGAGAAGCAGGTGCTTAGGTTTCAGGAAGGTCAAAGGACACAGTGAACGTGCACACAGTCCTCTCAAGAAATGTCTCCTTGGTAGCACATAACCTCCATGTTTGCTAGCCTGTTAATTATTACTGCTCTTTAGTGCATATAATTATCTGCCACTAGTTTTAAGCTTTTAGGATTGATGTAATTATGAGTCTCTTATACCTTTAAGTGTCCTTCTGCTCTCAGCTCTAGCAACAGGATCATAGACAAAATGTGCATGTTGCCTCAATACCCAAAGCATCGGAAATCTTAAATTAAAAAAATAATAATAATTTTCTTGAATAATTTGCACGGAAATAAAAAAAAACGCAGTAATAAAATACTACTTTCAGCTTTTGGTAAATGTTATCTAAAACACTACACTGTGCTACAAACTGAATCACCATGTCCCAAGTGATGACAACTTAATGTAGCGCACAATTGTAGAGAAAGACCAACTTAGGGTGTTAATACTGTCTTTCTCTGGCCCAACACTAATAGCAGGATTCTATTTAGGCATACGCTTCCTCAATTAAAAAAAAAAAAAATAAGGAAACTAGCAGCAGCTTATTGGACACTTACTATGTGCCAGATGTGATAGGATCTTCTTTAACCTTTTCCTTCACCCACTGCTGTGTATTACTATCTTCAATCTACAGATGAGATGAGGGTACGGAAGGTCAAACACATGAAGTAACGAATCCTAAGCAGAGTGAGGTCCAGAGAAAAGACTGCAACCCAGGTCTGACTCCAAAGATTTTGCCACTAGCCACTTTATTCTTATCCTTCGACTAGGAGAATCAAGGCCAGGAAAAGTAAGAACAATGTATTTTTAATTATAATTTACCCAAAACCCTATTTGTGGTTTCTACATCTGCTTTGAAATTGCACCCTTTTCCCTCAGCATGAAATACTAGAATCTCTTCTTTCATTTATTTTTGATAAGCAAAGCTAGTATTAGAATAGTAAACCGTGAGGTCACAGCTAACCATGACATTCTGAAGAATTCTTCAGTCTAAGCATGCAGTGAGGCATTCCAACGTCTTAAAAAGCTTAATTTTTTTTAAATAAAGCTTAAATATAAGCATTATGTTAACACAGGTTTAAAGAAACCTCCAGTTCACTAGATAAAACTCTTTAGCGTATATAGAGGGGCTGATGTTCTTACATCTTCCTGAGACTCTAAATTACACACCAGGGCTTTTTCACGTGTGAACTGGGCTATCAAAGTGGAGGCAGTAATAGACAAATCAACACGTGAACTTCCATTACTCCGTATGACATCTGTACATGTGCCATTATGCATCTATTCAGAAGTATCCATATGTGAAAAGGAGGTAACATATAAACACAGCATTATCTTTTATTCTGGGAGGAGACGATTATGTGTACCACCTGCATGTGGCAGGAGGTGTGGCTCCAGAGACCAGTTCAGGTCTGTTTCACCTTGAGACTCGACACACCTAGAGACAAGTCTTTTGCTTAAAGTGCCTGTGGGTGCCCGTGAATCTCCAACACAGCGACTGAGCCCCCTCGTTCCTACACACTGGTCTGCCCTCCAAATCTGGCTTCTAACGCTCCCCCTCCTCCCCCAGCTTTCATGGCTAGAGTTTCGTCTTTCATTTTCTTTTAATAAGCATAGCTGCTATCAGCACACCGGATGAGCCACGAGGTTAACACTTAACCCAGGTACAAGTCGTTAGTATTTCTTGGTGGGAGGCAAGTCTGTGAATATACTAATTTTCACATACAGAAACCATCTCTACCAGAGAAATGCAAACGGTATTGTTCAACTTGGTCCTTGTCGAGCCCGGCCAAGGTCTGCGTGTGGATGAGATCCCTGAAGTTAGGCACAGTACAGCTCCCGGGATCTGCATGTGCTCATTACCATACTGCAGAAGTTGCTTCTGAAGCAAATAACAGTTTTCAGAAAGATCGAGGTTACAATAATAATCTAGAGACTTGGGCAGGGAGAGAAAAGACAACTGTATCACAGAAAAGCTAAGGAACAAAATGACCTATTCCTCTTACATCAAAGCTTGAGGACTCCTAGCACACAATTAGCATGACCTTCCACGAAGGGAGCCCCGGCATACACAGATTTCCTTTTTTGTTTCTAAAATAAAGGTACTTACCAGTGAAAATCCATAAGTCACCACACTGTGCTCGGGACTGCACCGGCCACCCTCCTCCATGGAAGCAGAGCGTGGGACCTGCCAAGTTTGTGAAGACATCTACTTGGGTTGATTGGAAAGAGGTGTGTGGGGGTGGGGGGTGGTGGGGAGAAAAGAAAGACTTTCCCTTTAAAACTGAACAGAAGCAGATACCACATCACATGACCTTTTACCGTAATTTCTATTAAAATCATTTCATGTCTGGTTGCCTCTGAGCTCCTGGCTCATTTGTATTGTTTACAACAAGTCATTGCACTGGCAGTTAGTGGTGGCCGAATCCATGGTTACCCGTTTTTACATTCACTAGTTAAATGGCATGCAGTTCTGCTGTGGCTTTCAGGGAGCAAGCTCTTAAGAAACCACAATCCAGCCATCAATCAGACTAATCTGAGAGAAATTAATCTTATAAACATAAGTATTGGTGCATATTAAAAATTGATAGAAAGGGGGCACAGGCTTTTATTGGTTGGAGTGACGAAAGTGGACAAGCTAAGATGTCACTTAGAGTCTCAGAGTATTCAGTCTGTGGTCTACATCTGACAGCCGTTCACGTTGTGCATCTAAAAATCTTTCAAGGGTAATACGACCCCCCTTTAAAACAAGTCCTGCACCCCCTCAAAATTTTGTGAGCATTTATTTCAGGTGAATGCTCTTAGGATCTAAAGAGCACCCAAATACAGGTTTAACCACGGCTGCAATCCCAGCAAAGTAACTTAAACACACACATGCAAGACAGTAAAATACCAAACAGACAGCACTGGGTAGGATTCAATTAAGACAAAAACCTCGGTGGAATGCTCTTTACGAGTAAATTAGAACTGCAAACTAATATGTTTTATTGAGAGCAAGAACGATACAAATTCATTCTATCGTCTGTGAATTTACGTGGTTAATTCTTTAAAAACATTCCCCACAGCAAACTTGTTTCTCGAGATGGACATGACCAACAATTATCATTGGTAATAAAAATTTAGAAGTTTTATAGTTTAATGCCCACAGTAATTGTCCCACAAGTAACATCTAAATGCTAAATGAGAACAGCAAATAGTTAAAGCTAACATATTACAACCCCATCTACTGCAAAGTCACTGTATCAGAAGCTAGAATTGATTTGTTTCCTCAGAACGAATTGAAAATGAACGTAACACAACGTCGGAAAAATCCCTCCTGCACTGCTAATCGGATATTGTATAATGGTTGATTGCAGCTTTGCCCTGTGCTATTGCTGCCTAAATCATACATACTTACACGTTCTGGGTTCTTCCAAGAGTTTGGTGCAGTTTCAAGGACAAATGTCTTAAGGAAGCCTCTCTACTGTGCAGCAGGGAGCCTAGCTCGGATCTGATGACAAGAGAACAGTGCTAAATCTGACAACAGAGAAGGAAACTTCCTGCTTGAAGAAGAGATCTTGGAAAGTCTCAGGGTGAAAAAGGCTGCTTTAACTGTGCTGGTTGATTTGCTCCCTGGTTGTATATACACAGTAGCAGCTGATCTGTATTTGCAGCCCTGCAGAAAGGAACCTTTACTGAAAACCAGTGGCATCACATTTCAGCGGAGCTGGTGCCGAGTTCTGGAGAGGAGAGCAACCTTTGACAACTTCACACAATTCAACCCAGCCGACTTACCACAGGTCGGGGACGAAAAGCGTGGCCCCCCCCCCCCCCCCGCTGGGTTTCATCACTGGTATGTTAGCGCAGTTCCTGGGAAACCAAACACCATTACCAACTGGACTCTGGTGACCGTGTGAGGTATTCTCTGGACTTATCTTCAACGGAGCCTCTATCTCTGCTGTCCCTACCTACCATGGACCGTATTGTCACAGAACGGCTTCTAAATGCATCCCAGGTTTTAAAGTGCATCTCCTTCTATTTTTTACAGAACCCTTCGAATCCACGGTGTGTTACTAATCTTGGCCAGGTGACATTCTTCTGATGTCCCTCACAAATAAGCTGAGGGGGAAAAATACAGGATAGGGTAGGGTGGTAATTCATTCTGCATTCTGCTTCCCACTTCAGAGACTGGAGCTTTAACATGACTGTTTTGTTGGAGGCCATTTTGTGACCGTTCATTACAAATTGGGCACGGCTGCAAACTTCACTCGGTAGAAGCCCCTAGTGAGGCTCTGTCGTGAGGCTATAGGGACACTGAGAGGAAGCGAGCGATGAAGGACGTGGAATCTGCTGTTCAGTAGTGGAGTTATCTTCTCTACCACCCTTACTAGAGAAAAGAATGGAGATTCTAGACTTTGCTAACTCTAAGAGTGAAAGCAAGAGGGTGTAAGAGACAGAAAGAGTGAGGAAGCGGGAGAGAGAGACACTGACTTACTACCGGTTGCTGTAACAAACTTAATCCAAGGCACTGGTTAACCACTTGGTTATCTGTGTGTTTCTTGCTGCCCTTCTTCTCCCTCCTGTCCCTATGACAAGTCTAGGCTGTGGTATATTACATGGTATTTTCTCTCTATTGTGCGTTTTACTTCAAAGGGCAGAAATCAGAACTGACAGTTTAACAAAAGGCCACATTAAATGTGTCAGGAGGCATAGGGAAATACTCTCCTACTTATCTGAAAGCCAGTCCAGGAGCTGCCTGGGCAACTGGTGAATTATCCAAGGCCTTTGCTATTCATTTTGGCCACGCTGTTGTTCAAAAATAATATTGCCCTGACATTTGAGAGCCCACATAATGTAATAAAAGAATCCGGGCTCTGGTGCCCGGTAGATTTAGCTCCTTATCCTGACCCTGCTACTTCCTACCTGCATGAGGTTGAGAGTTACCTAAAATCTCTGAACGTTTCCTCATCTATGAAATGGCAACAGTATAGCTACCGGAGGAGATTGCTGTGAAGAGGTAAAAGATAACACATGTCAAGGGCTCACTACAATGCCTGGCATGCATGCATTTACAAACATTTACTGAGCCTCCTCTGGGAGACAAGCACACTGCCATACACTGCGGTGGGGGGGAGGGGGGGAGCCACAAAGTCAACTGAGACATGGTCCCTATTCTCTAGGGCAGTCTACAAGAGCTCCCTCTTTCTTCCATCCTTCCTGTAGTTTGCATCGTCTCTATCACAAAGCAGAAAAACATTTTCAAATATTTTTCTCATTTGGTCCTCATAGCAGTCTCAGGAGGCAGATGAAGCTATACCCAATTTGCAAATGGGAAAACCACAGCTTAAAGGAGTGAGGGTCACACAGCTAGGAAACGGCAGCCTGAAAGGCAGCCCAAGTTCCGACTCTGTTGCGTACTCTTCAGAGTATGTATATGAATTTGCCACAGAGCATTCATTTGTTTTCATACTTCTATATTATACCCTTATCCTTATTGTACTATTTCATGCATATAGATTGTACTTCCCTAAAGGTCTACATGGACAGACTATACCTTAAAATTACCTTGTATTCTCCAACAGATGTACCGTGATACTAAGCATACTATGTATTTAAATTTTTTCCTAGATTTACTTTTTTTAATGTTTATTTATTTTTGAGAGAAAGAGTGAGAGTGGGGGAGGGGCAGAGAGAGAGGGAGACACAGAATCTGAAACAGGTTTCAGGCTCCGCACTGTCGGCACATAGCCTAACGTGGGGCTTGAACTCATGGACCGTGAGATCACGACCTGAACCGAAGTCGGACGCCTAATTGACCGAGTCAGCCAGATGCCCCCAAATTTTCCTATATTTAAAAGAAACTCAAGCTGAGTCCACTTTACTATCTCTAATCAATGTCACGGAAAGATAGAAATCCCCAGAAAATAACGATTTAGAGGTTACTTGTGGCCTTCCAGGACTCATGCCATCTATGTTTTCAATTATTTCCGAATAATTATATACACGCCAAAGTTTTCAACATTGCCTCATAATTAAACCACCCAAAGATCTCTCTCTTCATATATATTCTGTGCATTGAATTTTCATAAAAGCAAGCAATGAAATATTTACTGTTAATTTCAAACTTGATCCCAAGACATTCTGATTTCTAGGTTCATTTCAGTTTCTAGGTTAACAGATCACAAAGTGTAGAATTCCATTGGTCATTATCTTGTGAATCAGAGCAGAGCATTGGGCAAGTCTCAGGTAGAATCCAAGAAAATTGTTGGATCTGTTTTTTTTTTAGTATAGTACCTATACCAACAGCCCAAATTTCTTGAATCATTGTCTATCTACTGCTTCATTTTATGCTTTAAAATGCAGTCCAATTCTGATGGAAGAATTGGCTAGACATTTATCAGTGAATCATACATAAAAATAAAAATACTTTTGAAAGACATCTATATAGTATCTAGAGCTTGGAGTTAAAATCATGTATTATGTTAATTAGTTCTGTTGTATCCTGGAAATCTTTTTTTTAATGGAATTTATATCATTATTACAAGTACTTACTGCCAAACAATGATTCCTTCAGCCTTAACAAAAATCCAGGAAATTCAGATTATTATCAACATCATGGCAGAAGTGCAAATGACGGGCTGTGTTTGACACAAGGAAAACAATTTTTGAATGTTCTCTTTCTGTTTCCAGAGTCATTCATTTTTCTAGACAAGCTGTGGCCATCAGCAAGAGAAAGTAAATATGCTCCCTAGGTACTGACATTCTATATGTTAAAATATCAGACTTGCCATGTTCAACTGCCCAGCTGCATACTATTTCCTGCTTCCTCCCTAAACACAGTAATACGAAAAGTACCTACCACAGTTCGAGACCACAGTGAGCAAGAAATATGCCTACTAAAGACCACCCCGGAGCCAAAAATTGGCCTAGGACTCTGTCAAACCTGGGTTGACCCAATGACTTTTCCTCACCGCATAAAACTAAATGTAGGGTTTTTTTTTTAATGTTTATTCATTTTTATCTTGAGAGAGAGAGAGAGAGAGAGAATAAGCAGGGGAGGGGCAGAGACAGAGGGAGAAAGAGAGAATCCCAAGAAGGCTCCGCACTGTCAGCGCAGGGCCTGACGTGGGGCTCAAACTCAGGAACCACAAAATCATAACCTGAGCCGAAGTCAAGAGCCAGACGCTCAACCACCCAGGCGCCCCCATAAAACTAAATATAGTTTTCAAGAGCTTTTATACCCATGAATCTCACTCAACTCTCACAGCCAACTTGTAGACAGATATTTCTATTATTTACCTTTTTACAGGCAGGACAAATTCAGAGAATTTAATGATTTCACAAGACCATACAGGCAATAAATGACTCAGAAAAATGTTAAAATGGATGCTCTAATTTGTAAGTATTCCCACACAACTATCATCCTGTACTTTCCCTTCAGGAAGAATGTGCATACATTAGTTTCCCCCTTTTTCCTTGTGGTTTCTCATCCAATGAACAATTAAATGCAGACCAGACTTACACACACACACACACACACGTGTGTGTGTGTGCACATGCACTGCCCCTCTCTTCTACCTTCATATGCCTTCCGTCTTCACTTCTCCCACTTCTTGGCCAATTACTTCAGAGAATAATTTTTCTCTCCATTTTTCTTCACTCTCCTGCCTTTCAGTGCATTTGGGTGTCAAAAAACAAATCTTATCACAGGTGATAAACTTAGAAAGAGTGCTAATGCTACACTCTTCCAAGGGAAAGAAAAGCCATATACTTCGCAAGCAGCCTCTAAAAATCCTGAAAGTTTCTAAAAATCCCTTTCACGCACTCTGCAATAGTTTCCATCTATCTTCTTAACTTCCAGTTATATGTGTGTTTCTCTTAAACATCAACCCTCCAGAGTCTAGATAAATGATAAACTATCATTCAGTTTTATTGCCTTTATGTTATGTTTATCACTTGTATCAAAATAGAACTCTTTTTCATATTTTTTCATCACTGATATACAATATTTCACTCCAATAAGTTAACATAGGCTTTTATAGTCTAGCCTAGGAAAGTAGTCAGCATTTAAGATTGTTTTATGTAGGGGAAAAAAAGTGAGTTTTGAACAGCCAAGAATTGATCTACAAATGAAAAGTTTTTATGTAAACCCGAGTGTCCAAATTTTGTGAGGTTTTCATTTCAAACCACTGCACCTGAGCTCCTTTCCTACTCTACCTGCTAATTTTTCTGGTCATGGCAAAGGCCAGACTTCAGTAAATAATTAGTTTTATCGAATGGAAATAAACAGGAGTATAATTAATTGGTTGATTCATTACTAATCAATCACTTAATGCAGAATCACAGAAATGAAGTAAGGTGGAGACCATCAAGTCAAACCCCTTCATTTGGAAATGAAGAACAAGAGTTCACTGGTCTTGGATAAAGAAGATAACCAGATCATACTAGAAACTATGCTCAGGACCATTTCAACCGATCCTTAGCTGAAGATCGATGTTCAGGCATATATACACATTAGCGAAAGAAAGCAAATGTCTAGCTGTGAGGATGTCTGATCCAAAGGATCATCAGGTATTATGTCCCGTTTCTACAACCTTTGGAAAATAAATGTTCAGAGTAAATAGAAAATGAATTTCTAATCACTGAATTAAACTATTCATCTAAATAGCCAACTTTGGATTTCTCTCCACACATAATAACTTGGAAAAATATATAGCCTGTGTTTACTATAGCCACAGTCTCTAAGAAGAGCTATAACCCGCTAACAATTTTCCTGATTTATGTCTGAAAACATACAGGGCATGAAATGATTTCTGCAACCTTACGTTTTCCTCAAGAACACTGGTAGACAGAAGATATATTCCAAAAATCATGTTG